ATGAGTCTTTTCTCTTTGGTAGATTTTGGGGAGAAAGGGATATTACAAACCCTATAGTACTAGAGTAGGCCCATTGAGTCAGTGTTGCTTTGATGAGAAAATTCCTTCAAAAATTCCTTTAATTCAAAGGTGCCTACTCTAACTGTAACTTGTTATGCTGAAGTAAATCACAACTAGAGTAGATCCATTTGAATCCATGTAACTTACAGAGGAATTAACTCACCAAACCCCGACTAACACTTACAGAGGAATTGACTCACCAAACCCCAACTAATTCAACCAGCCTACTCAGCAATTTACTGTGCTGAAATGGAGAAGAGTGATGTGCTAGTTCACCTTTTTTCATCTCTACAACCTGTCTTCTATCTATCATGCTGCCCTCTCATCCATCCCCAGAAAGATCAGGACCCCCCTCACCAGAAAGACCACTGTTAATGACTGTTAACAACCCATGACAATAGGTGGAAAAGGAATGCATAGGTGGGATTTTCTCTCACACATGTACACACATGTCCTTTGTACACCTAAGAAGCCTATTCAGACCGGTGGAAGTGAAACCATGTTTCAATTAGGGATGGGGGACAAATATAAAAATGGATCTGTTTTTTGGACAAATACAGCTGATTTATTAAATATTCATCAATCTATATTCATTAAATGTTAAGTCCCAACAAACAAGGCTTGATGAATATTTCCCAATTTTATTTCTCCCTTCATTTTTTAAAAAAAACATTCTGCCTATTGGCCAGCTGATACACAGCCACCGACCCCCACAGCCTAACCATACCCCCTTCCTCTCCCTACCTTAGCCACCCACCCCCACCGACACCCCCTTACCATAATCATCACCACCACTGCCAAGGTCTCCATAAGGCCTCCACAGCCATGGCGTGTAAAAAGGGAGACTTGTAGCCCTTTGCAAAGATGGCGGCTGTGGCTTCATTTAGGGTAGAGAAGCAGCAGCTGCTATCTTTGCAATGGGCAGCCTGGATTCCCTTACAGCAGGCTAAGGGTGGGAGGTGGCAGCAGGGGGTGGGGGTGGCAGTGGGAGGTGGCAGTAGCAGCAGGGGTGCAGGATGGGGTGTATTTTTAAATACCCCTCCCAATCGACAAATAACTTCATTATTCATTGCTTCATAGGTGCAACTTCGTGCTTGGTGAGTTGTCAACTTTTGACGACCCACAAAGTGGGACAACTCACCAAAATAGTGAGTCATCCCCATCTCTAGTTTCAACCTAATACGAAAAAAGTCCAGTTGCCATAACTCAACTTCCAGCTAGCTTCAAAGGATTCCATCATTCATAAAAATTGTGTACCATCAAGTCAATTCTGACAGATGACAATCCTTTTCAGGATATTCTAGGTAGAGAGTACTCAGAAGTTTTAGATCATTTCCTTCTTCTCGGAGCATATGGGGATTCTGAGGTTTGCCCAAAGTCACACAGGCTGGTGAATTAGATCAGTGGTTCTTAACCTTTGTTACTCAGATGTTTTTGAACTGCAACTCCCAGAAACCCCAGCCAGCACAGTTGGTGGTGAAGGCTTCTGGGAGTTGCAGTCCAAAACTCCTGAGTAACCCAAGGTTAAGAACCAGTGAATTAGATTATGCCTCCCCCGTCCATTCTTCAACCTTGATCAGGAAAAAGAGAAGAAAGTGAAGGAGGGAGGAGGGGATAAAGGTATTTGGTGAATGAACTGTTGTAATCAACGACAAAGACTCGCTCTCACAAAATAGTTTAATCATATACTGTCTAATTACAATGCTGATGGAGGAAACTTGAATCAGAAAATACAACTTTGGAACTTAAGAGTCATAGATTTTGTAACATCACCAGAATGGAGGCACCTTTGCTTCCTTGGTTTCCTTTCGCACTGCAGTGGAGGCAATCCTCCCTCTGGTAGCAGCTTTGATTGGAGGACCTATCCCTAAGGACTGGCTGGAGAGAAAGATTGAACTGCTAATGTTACTTGCCTCAAAGCATTGATTGTTATCTTAAACATTGTTTTGACCCGGACTGCGAGAACATTTTGATGATAGAGAGGTGCTGACCTATGTTTTGGATGCGCTATGTAAATAGCGTTATTTGAAAGAAAGCTGGGGCAGCAGCGACAACTGCTGGAAAGAAACCAGGTAGCATCTTTAAGAAATTTGGAAGATGACAGCAAAGGGGAGGGGAAGGCCTCAAGAAGCTCAGCTGCGCAGGAATAAAATCTAAAATTATTGGGGCAAGAGACATTTAAGAATTGGAAAAAGAACATTTGCATCAATCAGCATGGCTGTTGCTCCACTCCTCTCCTTCATACATGCTCAGCTTCACCCCTCCGATCCTATCCCACCTCTATTACTAACCCCAATCCTAACTCTAAACCAATACCGAAAATTCCCATCCTCCTCATGTGTATGACATTGTGTAGAAAGTTGATACTCTTTGGAAACAAGGATAAAGAATGACCGGATCAGCATTATTATTCCTAAACTTAAAAATCAAAGAAACAAAAATGGGAGCAGGAGGAAGTTTCACACACTAAGCCTCTAGAAACAACTTCTGCTTCACATTTGCTTTGTCTGTACCTAGGGGGGAGCTGGGTGTCTCCTCCTCTCTCCAGATTCACAACTGCTCAGTCAGTGGTGAGGAATAGAAGATGCTATTTCTGCCGTAGGAATTGTCTCATTGAGGGATAGTGAAGTAATACAGTTAAACTGTATTGAACTTTTGACCCTGTGACTCAGTGCACTATTCAATCACTGTGAAAGAACACAGTTAAGCCCTTCCTGGTCAAACATTTTTAATTACTTCCTGTGAAAATTTTGTTTTTCTTGTAGCTGGTGATGATCTCAAAGTAAATTTTACCAAGTTTACTTATGAATAAGGATACAGCAGCAACAGCAGTGTGAAGAGAGAACATTGGGCCAAAGGTTAGGTAGACAGAATGGAGGTAAAACCCCTTACCACCATCTTTCTCATTCTATATGTGTTACTGACTTCCACAATGTCCTACCATTCTGAGCAGAGCTCTTTTGATCTAAAATCAATTAAGTCCAATGAAGTTTTGTGATTATGAATGCTGCTGTTGCTTTTATTTGTGCCTATGTGGATTTTGGGTAGCAGGGACATAGTCATTTTTTCTTTTCGTTTCTATATATTGTTTCTTCAAATGTTTATCATTGCATCATTTCACAATATATTTGGCATTACAGTGGTGCCTCGCATAGCGATCGTTCCATTTAGTGATGAAATCGCTTTGTGATGCATTTTTTGCGATCACAAAAGCGATCGTTTTGCGATGTTCCCTGCGGGGGAATTTCTCTTTGCGATGATCAGTTCCCTGCTTCAGGCACCGATCATCGCAAAGTGATGATTTTTTAACAGCTGATCGGCAGTTTCAAAATGGCCGCCGGGTAAATAAAATGGCCACCCACTGTTTTCTGGGATGGATTCCTCGCTTAAGAGGCACCAAAAATGGCCGTGCCATGGAGGATCTTCGCTGAACCATGAGTTTTAAGCCCATAGGAACACATTAATCAGGTTTTAATGCGATTTTATGGGCTTTTTTATTTCGCATGGCGACGTTTTCGTTCTGCAGCGATTTTTGCGGAACGAGTTAATGTCGCAGTGCAATGTACCACTGTACAGCTGTCTACACCTTTTCTTTCCAGTCAGCTGATGAGGGAGCTGGCAGAGCATCAGAAGACCAGCAGGTACAGAGCAAATGCAGAGCGGGTACACCTGGACATAGAAGACAGTCTGTGTACCAGAAGCATTGCCCCACAAAGCAGCTAAGGAAGCCTTCCCCTCTTCTCATTTTTTCATCACTAATCAGCTGGGGCAACCTCTTCCCCATGGTTTCTAGCAGCTATTGTGATACCAGGTGGCATATGCTAGACACTTGATTTATTGATGGATCACTTACCATTTTTGGAAAAATATCAAAATCTTTAAGAGCAGTGTGCTGCTAAAATTGTGTGCAAGAAAATTGTTGATTTCAGCAGTGTAGACACCAAAACAGGCTTAAATCACCAGAAATAAATCAATTTCCATTCAGTGCATGTAAACACAGCCACCAGTTTAAATACCATAGGACCTGAATCTGAATTTTAGAAAGTCTGAACAGAAATCGATTCAAATTGCCAGTATGACCACAGCCTAATCCTCTACAAAGAAACTCTGCTTCACATTTCTTTCACTTGTATCTCTGGGACAGTTGTGCCTCCTCACGATATTATTATGACTGAAATCCTGTTGTGTATCTTCATGCACATAAATGATTATGTCAGTCAAAGGGTTTTAATCTTTAAGGTTTCCTTCCCCTCCCCATTTTCAGTTCTGCAGCTTCCTAGGATCCATTTTTGGTCTTCAGAAGCCTTGGCATGGGTGGATCACCTTAAATGCCTAAAAAATCACCACCAACAGGCATAATTCATAAACATGATGTCACCATGATTTTCATGCATATAGTTGCACAATAAAATTTCACCCTTTCCCCATCCTATCAAGAAATAAGAAAACATGACACGGGTAATGGGTTTTATCCAGCAACACATGTTTATTAACGACTAGTAATAGATTTGCAACATTAACTGTTATGTGTCCACTCAGGACTAATTCACCTTCAAATACTTTGCATAAAGTATATTTCTCTCCGAACAACTTGGGTGATCATAGCTAACTTCATCCCAGCCCAGTGGGAAGGGCAATTTCAGAGTTTTTCTGAATAAAAGGTTTAGCATCCTACTTGCCAGGGTATTCACCGTGAGAGCCCCATCTTTACTAGACTCCTGTATAAAGAGAGCACAGTGGTTTGAGTAGATAGTCTTGAAAAGTGCTGGAGCTCAGATAGTGATATGGTAGGGAAGGACAGCAATCAAGTATAACCTATTTAAAGTAAGAATTATGAGAGCAAGCTCTGTGAGAGAGTTATATATACTTAAGGCATGTTAAGGCTCAAGATAAAAATTAGCAGCAAGGTGTTCATGTGGAAAGGGTATATACTTAGATGTTCAGAAAACAACTGTAGAGGAAAACACCAGTTTTAGAAATTTACACAAGGCAGCCCTGATCTCATTGTTTCTCATGCTGTAGATGAATGGATTTAGTGTAGGAGGAATAATGACATACATCACAGCAGAAGCCACATCCAGAGCAGAAGAAGCATCGCTGGGCGGTATTACATGGACAAAGACCCCTGTTAATAAATACACAGAGACAACGGTGAGATGGGGAATGCAGGTGGAGAGAGCTTTTTTCTGTCCAAGTACAGATGGGATCTTCAGCACCGCAGCAAAGATCTTCAAGTATGTTATAATAATGAAGACAAAGCATCCTAGTCCTACACCACAGCTTAGTGCAAGAAGCCCAACTTCAGCTAAGTAAATCTCAGAGCAAGAAAGCTTTAATAAATGAGGGATTTCACAGAAGAACTGATTGATACAATTAGAACAAAAGGTGTTTGCAAAGGTTCCACATGTATGCAATAGGGCATAAAGAACGCTAACAAGCCACCCAATGGCCACCATTTCAAGACAGGTTCCCTTGTGCATAATCCTATCATACTCAAGTGGGTTGCAGATTGCAATATGGCGATCATGTGCCATTATTATTAGAATAACAAAATCTGATGAAGCAAAAAAAAGATAAAAGAAAACTTGAGCAACACATCCAGAGTAAGAAATGGATCTATCATCCATAAGGGATACAACCATTATTTTGGGGACTATAACTGATATGAATCCAAGGTCTATCATGGCTAAGTTTAATAGGAAAAAGTACATGGGGGTGTGCAGGTGGTTGTCAACAATAATAGAAACAATGATGAGAAGATTCCCTGTTACTGCCATCAAATACAATGCTAGGAATAGAAAGAAAGATAAGATCTGTAGTTCTCGGACATCTGAGAATGCCAGCAGCAGAAAAGTGGAGATGGAAGTCAGATTGCTCATATTGTCTTCAGTAGTTGCATACAATCTGTTCCAGGAAGATAAGATGCATTACAATTCATTAACGATCATGTTATTCAGATATGATTCTAATTTAAATATGAAATAATGGACTAAGTAGCAAGCAAATAATCATGTTTCATAACTGTGACCCTACTCACTCATTATTTTGGTAATAAAAAATCAGTGAAGGAGTTTAAGATAGATAGCATGCATTGTAATAAAACAGACATAAAATATACAGAATGAAAACTTTTTAAAAATAACTAAAACAGAAACTGTTACAATACAACTGGATAAATAGCAAGTTTCTTGGTGAAGGAGACAGTTCAGAAACCTAACTGAATGATGTCCTTTCAAATGTAAAATGGGGATAACCATGTGTCCTGGGGAGGTTAATCCAGAATAAAGGTGCTGCATAGAGAAACCTCAGTCACCATAACTTGAGCTATGCCTACTACATGGTTCATGAGGGTGGTCTTCCTGGCTTCTTCTAAGGTATAACATAGTTTGCACTAGAGATGTAGCATTCTATGGAGTTTTGCCCTATGTCCTTCAGTCTATGTACACAAATACCAGCATCTTTGAATGGGCAAACTGATTCTGAAGCACTTAGTGGAGTACTTTGAAAAGGCATATTATTCACCCACTGTAATGTCTGGATAACCATTAAGGATGATGCCATGAAAGAATTGGATTACAAGGGAATACTCCAGTCAAGAGATTATCATGTCTGAATCCAGGCTATTACAGTGCAGAAACAACCAAAACTGTGAAGCCACAGAAATCTTTTGTACCTCTAGAATGAGATGGGGGGGGGGGAGCCACAGACTATGTATCAATTCAAGCCGAGTCATCTACATAGAGAAACAGAGAAACACCTTGTCATAGAGACTTTGATTTTCTTAAGGTTTATTGGCTCTTATTCAGCTGCTGGAGCTCACTCATCCAGAACGTCCACAATGGTTTGTAATAGCTAGGGTGAACCAAAATATTTTGGCTAACAAATATTTCCTCCTAATCCATGGCCATCAAAATGCCATAAGAATATATTAATTATTACAATGTTGTTTTTTCATAGCATTCGGAACAAATGGTAAACTTTGGAAGGCTTTCTGATTCTTATTTGTCTCAGATCAGTATGAAAACTTTCAAAGGATTCCTGGTTGATTCCCCAACCAGCCCAATGGTACAAATTTTGCAACCAGGAAAAGCCCAACAAGATTTTCCCTTTGCTATATCAAACATATGTTACCAGGAAGTGAAGTTTGCAAGCCTCAATCACCTCTGTCTCTTCTAGCAAACTTTTTGTGAGCACCCAGATCCACAAAAGACAGTAACAAGGAATTTGGTGCCTATTTCTGACAGCAACTTCTTTTATACAAATCTCTACTGCTTCATATAGTGAAATGAACCACCATTCTTCCTAATTTGAGGCCATTTAATGCAAATCACACAATTATAGGGAGGTCTCCGAGGTAGGGTCTTGCGACTTGTGCCAAGTAGCATTGGAAATGTACATATTGCCGAAATGTATCTTCCTAAATCACTTATGAAGGAGAGGAAAGGAGAGAGAATTTACCTTGTGACAAAGCATCTCTGTTCTTCTTAATAGATCTTCTCATAAAGGTTGCCTGAAAGAAGTCAAAGGAACTTCCTGCTAATCTACATCTTTTGTGACTCAGACTTATGAGATCTCTGTAACGGGGTATCTTGAATGACATTTTGCACATCTATCTATTTTAACATGTATTACGTGCAGTATTTATCTTGGAGCCAAAGGGAATTCAACAATAAAAGTCCCAAGAGAAATTATTGATGTTTGTATACCGAAATTATTCTCTACAAAAAAGAATATGCTAGATCCTACACCCATGGAGAGTTGCAAGAATCAGCATGGCTGTTGCTCCACTCCTCTCCTTCATACATGCTCAGCTTCACCCCTCCGATCCTATCCCACCTCTATTACTAACCCCAATCCTAACTCTAAACCAATACCGAAAATTCCCATCCTCCTCATGTGTATGACATTGTGTAGAAAGTTGATACTCTTTGGAAACAAGGATAAAGAATGACCTGATCAGCATTATTATTCCTAAATTTAAAAATCAAAGAAACAAAAATGCGAGCAGTAGGAAGTTTCACAGACTAAGCCTCTAGAAACAACCTCTGCTTCACATTTGCTTTGTCCGTACCTAGTGGGGAGTTGGTCTTTGCCACTTTGTTACTATGGCTGAAATCCCATTACACATCTGCATGGACATAAATACTTATCATATCAGCCAACACTTTTTATATTTATCTTACATAGTCCTATGCAGGGACGTGGTGGCACTCTGGGCTAACCCGCAGAAGCCTGTGCTGCAGGGTCAGAAGACCAGCAGTCGTAAGATCAAATCCACACAACGGAGTGAGCTCCCATCGCTTTGTCCCAGCTCCTCGCCAACCTAGCAGTTCAAAAGCATGTAAATGCGAGTAGATAAATACCGGTAGGTACCATCTCGGTGGGAAGATAAAACGGCATTCCCTAGTCACGCTGACCACATGACAACGGAAACTGTCTTCAGACAGGCGCTGGCTCTATGGCTTGAAAAGCGGGATGAGCGCCGCCCCCTAGAGTCGGACACGACTGGACTAAAAATGTCAAGGGGAACCTTTACCTTACATAATCCTATACATTATTGTCTCCATCTGCAGTTCGGTGGCTTCCTAGGGATCCCTTTTGCCCTTTAGAAGTCTTAGTATCAGTGGACAGCTTTAATGGCCAACAAGACAGTATCTAATGGGTTTCACTAAGTTACAAGAGGTTAGATTTTGACTAGAGATGGGCATGCACCAGTTTGTCCCAGTTCACCCCACTTTGTAAAGGTGGCAGCACAGGTGCTCCTCCTCCTCTCCCCTTCCTCCTCAACCAATCAGCCTTGCACCAGGCCCAGCTTGCTTGAGTTTTCCACTTTCTTGACTAATCGCCCAATCCTGAGCAAGAGTACAGACTTCTCTGCCCCGCCTTTTTATCTGAGTGGGAGAATATCCAAGCGGGCAGGGCAGAGAAGCCTGAGCTGTTGCTTGGACTGGAAGATCAGTTGAAGATGACAGAGGCTGGATCTTGATGAGTGGCTGATTGAGCCAGAGGAGGCTGGGGAGGAGATCAGCTGCACCTGTGCTGCTGCCTCTACAAACTTTACAAGACCAAATATGCATGCCTGGAAAGAAAATTATCCCTGTTTCCCACTTTTTTTAAAATTTCAGAGAAATTCAGCCATTCATGGCATTAATAATCAGTTTGCAACCAGTGCTTTTGAGGCCAGAAAAAAACTGAGATTGCCACTTCCTTATAGGGCGGCAACATTCTAAAGGGACTGAATATGTTTTTTTTTTTTTTTTAAAAAAAAGCATTTTATTAGTTTTTCAATCTATCTACATTCAATTCATGCTTGTTAAACATCTTGTTACATGGGTTCCTTATGATTATTTGATTTTTGCATCTTGGTATCTTCTTAATTGTCCCTTCCAAATCTATACATTTAAAGGACATTTAGACCATTTGTGTGTATATTTTTATATACTTTTGATGTAATTTAACTGACGAACTTTGTATTTTATAGCAGTAATAACTGAATAGGTTCCTAACACATAATAGATATTATCTAAAGCATTTTATGCATGTTTTCTTTATATAATTGTTTAGCCATTTCCATCTCCACATTTTCTATCATGTCTATGTCAATATCATATCTAATATATGTTCATTAAGTACTATTTGATTTACCTCATCCTTATATCTAGCTTCAGTTTACCTTAAGAACTACCATGTTATGCCTTTACCCTGATTAGTGGTCCCTTATTCCAGTTTAATTCCTTTTTCTAATATATAGGATATGCCCCCTTACAATCCCAGAAGTTAGGTGTATACAGTGCATGCTTTCAACATTGAAGGCCACCTTAATATTTTTCCTTTTTCAACTCCTTCTCTTATTTGTCTTTTCCCAAATCTTGTTTCTATCGCTCTAAAAAATTTGCTGTGCCTTCTGCCACCTGTGGACATTTTATACATTTGATCTATCTCCAATAGATCTTCCAGTCTCTTTTTAATTAGACCTGCTGATTCTCTCCCTTTATCTTCCCTTATCACACGTAAAATTCACCTCAGTTCCAGAGTTAAACTTCCTTCCACACTGGACCCACAGGGCAAATGAATGGCTTTTCACCATTTTATTGAGAAACTCTAGTTTTTGTCCTGGAGGCATAAGGAGATTTGCAACATTCCGTGAAAGATTATCGAATTCAGATTCGTGACTATTCATCACTGAACACAATTTTACTTATTTTATTTTTTTATTTTATTCATAAATGATTCCATTCAGGAGACTTTGGGGTGATGGGCAACAGATTAAAATTGACAAAAACTTAACAGTTGCAATAGAAACAGTCAATAAAGGCTTATATGAAGAAAATGTTCTGCAAAAAAATTCATGAACAGTAGATGGATGTACAACTTTAGATGTAATTACAATAATTAGGAGTGTACTGCTAATATCATAAAGATCATTCTTCTGGGAGAGTCCAGGCAGATCCTCGACATATGTGGAGCAACCAGGACTGCCTTAGCAGAATATTTCATTCATCAAGCTAAATAAAAGGGGAGAAGGTGGGTCTTCCAATAAACCCATTTAACAATGTAGTAGCCAAACCGTAAAACTGGTCCACTCAAAAACTAACAGCCAATAAAGAGCCTTCAGCAAAACTATTTCCTGATGAAGTAGATACAGATACTTACAGATACAGAGTGGTCATTGGCAGTGGTTGAGCAGCCATCATTTGTACCAGCTGCAAGTTCTGGACAAGCATCCAAGGAAATGGTGGGGATGATAGAATCTGAAGCAGGAACTACAAAGTCATACATCACTCATCCTTTTTATATGGCTTATTTAAATAACCAGGTTCTGTTTAGCAGTGATAGTAAAAGACATTTCACTATATTTCTAGAAATTACAGGGAAAACCATGAGGAATTTAAGACTAGTAATAGATTCCACATAATAACTGTTATTTGTCATGACCAATTGAGTCTTGAAAACATTGTATAAGGTGCACTTCTCACCCAGCTTCTTTAATGATTACATCTAAGCTCATCCCCGGTGTGAGGTAATATTGTAGTGTGCACAAAAACCGAAGTGTTTTGACCATGTGAGACCTGGCTCTACTGCACTCGTGTACAGACAGCATAATTTTTTTTTCTCTCAGATGCTGTAGCTAGCCTTAAAGAATGCAAAAACTCAGATTTTGATGGGGTAGGGAAGATGAAGAATCAAGCTTAAAGGATTCAGAGCCAAGATTCAGAGAGAAATCTGTGTAACATTTTTGTATATCCTTACATTAAGAGTGAAGCCATAAGAGATAAATTTGCACAGAAATATTCACCTGGAAAGGAGGAAACAATTAGATGTTCAGAAAACATCTGAATAAGAAAACACAACTTTTAAGATTTTCCACAAGGCAGCCTTGATCTCATTGTTTCTCATGCTGTAGATGAATGGATTCAATGTGGGAGGAATTACGGAATACATCACAGCAGATGGCACATCCAGAGCAGAAAAAACATCACTAGGTGGAATTACATGGGCAAAGACCCCTGTTAATACATACAGGGAGACAACAGTGAGATGGGGAATGCAGGTGGAAAGAGCTTTTTTTTGGCCATGCACAGATGGGATTCTCAGCACTGTAGCAAAAATCTTCAAGTATGTAATGACAATGAAAACAAAACATCCAAGTGTTACACCACAGCTAAATGCAAGAAGCCCAATTTCAACTAAATAAATTTCAGAGCAAGAAATCTTTAATAAATGTGGGATTTCACAGAAGAACTGATTGATACTATTGGAACAGAAGGTGTTTGCAAAGGTGCAACATGTATGCAAAGTGGCATAGAAAACACTAAATATCCACCCTTTGGCCACCATATCAAGGCAATTGCCCTTGTGCATAATTTTATCATATTCAAGTGGATTGCAGATTGCAATGTGTCGATCATGTGCCATTATAGTTAGAACAATAACATCCAATGGTGCAAAAAATAAAGATAAGAAAACTTGAGCGACACATCCAGAGTAAGAAATGGACCTGTCATCCATGAGGGACACAGCCATTGATTTGGGGACTATGACTGAAATGAATCCAAGGTCTATCATGGCCAAGTTCAATAAGAAGAAATACATGGGGGTGTGTAGGTGGTAGTCAACAATGACGGCAACGATGATGAGAAGATTCCCTATTACTGCCATCAGATACAATGTTAGGAATACAAAGAAGTGTAAGATCTGTAGTTCTAGGTCATCTGAGAATCCCAGCAACAGAAAGGTGGACATGGAAGTCAGATTGTTCATACTGTCTTCAATAGCTGTGTACTACCTATACCAGGATGAAAAGATCTATTAAATATCGTTCATGGTACTATTATCCAAACACAATTCCAATTTCAGTATGCAATTAAGAAATCAACAGTGAACAACAAGGAATTATGTTTCCAAACTGTAGCCATACTCAATCTTTCTTGTGTTAATAATAATACAGTATGGAATCTAAGGTAGCAGACATCATAATAAAAAAATTCATTAAGTAATAGAATGAAAAACTAACTAATTAAACTTAAAATGTTACAATGCAACTATTTTAAAAGCAAGTTCCTTGATCAAAAACACAAGCTCTAGAAAGTTGAGACTCCCCATAATGTCCATTTCCAAATGTAAAAGAGCCCTAACCTTGTGTTCTAGGGAAGTTATTCCACAATCAAGGTTCTACCTGGAGGAATCTCATTCTTCTGTTAACACAACACGATTACATGGTTTCTTAAAGTGGCCTCCCTGGCTTATTTTAAGTCACAAAATGGTCTGCACTGGGAATGTAGTATTCTATGGAGGGCTCATGCCCTTCAGACCTTTGCGTACAATTAGCAGGACCTTAGAACAGGCCAACTGTTTCATAAACATTTAGTGCAATACTCTGATTGTACAGCTTTACACCAACTGTAACCTCTGGAGAGCTTTCAAGAGCATTGCCCTATAGGAACCATAATAGAAGGGAATAATACAGTAAAGAGAGTATGAATTCTGAAACCAGGGTATTCCTGTCCAGAAACAACCAGAGTTGACTGACAAGGTATGCCTTCCATTGATAATTTTTGTATATCTATTAAGACATTTTTTTAAACGTCAAGTGACAGTCTGTGGATTTATTCTAGCCCAATCATCTATATCCTATCTTTCTTATTAGTTAAAAGGAGAAGCACCTCTGATAGACACTTCACTTTTGTTAAACATCAGTTGATTGAATCTTACTCAGCTGTTTGCAGTCACCCATCCAGAACTTCCAGAATTGAGAAGAAGAAGCTCTAGTAGAAGACAACCTCTTCCTAAGGATGAGGTGTGGTATAACCAAAATATTTTGACTAACAGTCTTGCATATATTTTCTCCCACTTCATGATGAGCAAAATGGCATAAGAATAAATGCATTTACTACAACTTTGCTTTTTCATAAGATTCACAACAAAAATGAATTTTGGAATGCGTTCCTGTTCTTATCTGGATTCCCCAACCAGACCTTGGCTCCAAAGACAGCTTCTTGCAACAAGGAAAGGCCCCACAAGGACCTCCCTTTGCCATATCCAACATGTCTTGTCAGGCATTGAGGGTGTTTTCAATTCTAAGTGATCTCTGGCTGTTTTGGCGAACTGCCTGTTATCATCAGGATCCACAAAAGACAGCATCCAAAATGCTTGTTCCTGCTTTTGATAGGAACCTTTTTAAAACAACCCAATGCTTTAGATACTTACGCAAATCAACTATCTTCCTAATTTGGGGAGAATTCACATAACTGCAGGAGGTCTCTAGTAAGGGGTTTTGAAACTTGTGTCAAGTACCGATGCAAATGTATATATTGTAGAAAGAATATATTGTATTCTTATATCAGATTTCATTGAGAAGAAAGGAAAGAGCATTTACCTCTTGAGAAAGCATCTCTGTTCTTCTTAAGATATCTTCTCGTAAAGGTTTCCTGAAAGATGTCACCAGATTTGTATGAACTTCCTGCTAATCCGTACCTTCTGGCACTCAGCTACATGAGTTGTTATAGCAGGGTGTCTTGCATGAAGATTTCTAAATCTGTCTGTCTGACCATGAATTATTTATGGTAGTTACAACAGAGCCAAAGAGAGTTACACAATAAATACCCCAAGAGAAATTACTTCTGTCTGCACTGAAGTTACTGTTTATGAAAAACAATATGCCAGATCATATACTTATGGGAGAAGTTCTTTTTCTCTCTTATTTTGGATATTCTGGGTTATTCATCTTTTTCTGTATTTCATTGTTTATGTCCTTATGGGCGGGGATGGGTAGCTGTGTTTTAACTGCTTTAATCAACTTAGAGTAGGGCTTATGCACTAGGTAATGGTTTTATTTATTAAAAATACGGTAATTTACCAGACTGAGATATAATCTCACACAAATGTCTTATTTGATTAGCTATATAATATAAACTTAAAGTAGGAACATGCAGTCTTTCTACTTTTTGAAATGTATTTTTATTTATTTATTTATTTGATTTATATGCCACCCATCTAGAACATGTTTACTCTTGGCGGTTTACATATAATATAAAAATAAACTGAGGTAAAATCCAAATTAATCTCAACGTCCAAGATGGGGAAAGGAGAAAAGAAGAAAAAGAAGAGAGAGAAAAAAAGATAAGGGAAGATAACCTAGGTAATAGCTGTAGGGAAGGCCTGCCTGTATAGCCATGTCTTCAAGTTAGTCTTGAAGGCCCTCAGCGAGGGAGCCAGGTGGATCTTTACAGTTAAGTTGTTCCAGAGGTGAGGGGCCACTGCCGAGAAGGCCCAATTTCTATTTTTTTCCACTGGGCCTCTATTGGCATTAGGCCCCTCAGTCGGCAGGCCTGACTGGAGTGGGCGATATGGGTAGAACTGGGCAGAAGAAGGCGCTCTGTCAGGTATTGAGGGCCTAAACTGTTAAGATGGTTCACCGCAAACTTATTTTTATAAGATTAAATTCAGTAGAGGTTTTTCCTACCACCTGGAAAATAAAACATTTAACATCCAAGTTCTAACTACACTACAGTTTTCATGCCTATTACACACGTGATACTGCTTCATTATTAAAGCAGCTTGTTTTTGGCTTATCTTTCATAGAATAATTCATAAATAATGGCAAGAGAATATAAAAGCAAAGCAAAACATGCTGCTTATATATTGCCCTGTAATGTTTAAAGCACCTTCTGGCTGGTTAACAATTTAATTATGCAGGCCACACATTGCCCCCCAGTAAGCTGGGTACTTCGTTTACTGACCTTGGAAGGATGCAAGGCTGAGTGAACCTCAACCCACCTATCTGGGATGGAAACTGGATGGTGAGCAGAGTTTTGACTGCAGTACTGCAGTTTAACCACTGCAGCATCATCACTCTCCCTTAGCCAAATGCAGGACCTATGGGAAAATGAATCCAGTACAGAAACTAGATTGACTTGAAAAATGAATGAATCATCAATGCATTGACTTGTATAATAAATTAAGACCCTGCTTCATAAACTCAAAAGAAAATAAAGAAAATTCCATTTAAATGCCTTCACCAGTTTATGGGGTTAATTTTTTAAAAGTCCTACTGCAAGAGAACAATTCACACATTTGTGGAACAAATGCCTCTCAGTTCCATAATAGAACTATTGCTAAACAGACATTCAGGAGGAAAAATCACATAAATCACCTGAGTGTAACCTTGTACAGCAGTCATTTCCTTTGCTCCAAAAACAAACCTCTACTAGCATTCTTCAAAAATTATGTAAAGAAATTGAATATAATTGGAGATTTCAGCCTGGCCCTTTTCTCTGTATTTGTTTTGTTTTGTTTTGTTTTGTTTTGTTTTCCATTTTTTTGGCATTCTGTTTAACTAGTGGTAGCCACAAGAACTGTTCATGTAACCAAAATAGCTATGAGGTGGGAAGAATGGAAGAGTGTAGGAGTGGAAGAGTGGAAAAGAGAAAAGGCTTGAGTTAAGGCTACTTTTTCAGTGAAGATTTCTCGCATTTTTGTGAAGCAATAACATAACAAAGAATGATCAAATGTTTGTTAGCAGTGATTCCCAATGTCAGGGTACTTGATCTTCTCAAATTGTATCTCTCACAAACCTTGAGACCATACACTCTTTGCTATGCTAACTAAAACTAACTAAAGGCCTTACACTTCAAACACATTTACTGATCCAAGGTTAGGGCTAATGAGTAATGAGACTGTGCAACATTCACTTAAAAATTCTGGAATTTTGATTCATGTCTATGCAGCACTTTACAGGGTTTTACTTGTTCTATTTATTTATTTTGACCATCACCTGTTCCATTTGGGAGGTTTGGGTTGATAGCAGATGAAAAGGTCATGTGTTTAAAGTTTAAAATAGAAACAATTTGTAAAAGCTTATATGAGAAGTTCCATGATGGGAAAAAAAATCAATAAGTGCATGTACAAATTTTGATGTAGTTACATTCATCAAGGTTGTAATTCAGGCATACTTATGATTTTACTCCTTAGAGAGTACAAGCAAATCCCATGTTGAACCACCAGAACTGTCTCAGCTGAAGATATCAAGTCAGGCCAGATGAAAATGGAGAAAGTATGTCCTCTAGAAATATCACTTGGCAGTGTCATAGCAAAACCTTGAACCTTGCCCACACAAAACATAGCAGCCACTACAGAGCCTTCAGCAAAAATGTTACATGCTGATGTAGATACAGATATATGCAGATACAGATATATACAAAGAGTGGCAATTGACAGTAGTTGCGCAGCAACATTTTGTACCAGCTGGAGGTTCCAGACAAACTTTCAGGGAAAGGATAAAGTAGACCCAGAATAAGAAATGGACCTGTCATCCATGAGGGACACAGCCATTGATTTGGGGACTATGACTGAAAGGAATCCAAGGTCTATCATGTCAAATAAAGAGAAAAAAACACAGTATTACGTTTTAAGAGTTTAATAAGCTTGTTTTTTAGGATTTAAAACACCCTACAGCAACTGAAAAGTTGCCCAATTGTGGAACAAATGCCTTTTAATTCTATAACAGAACTATTACTAAACAGACATTCAGGAGAAAAAAGCCATATAAATCACCTGAATTTAATCTCCCACAGCAGTCACTTCCTTTGCTTCAAAAGCAAACTTCTACCAGCATTCTTCAAAAATTATGTAAGGAAATTGAATATACTTTGGGATTTTCCCCCAGCCTTATTCTCTCTGCCCCCCCCCCAGTATCATGTTAAACTTGTGGTAGGCACAAGAGGAATTGTGGGGAGGAGTGGAAAAAAGAAGCTAGAGTTAAGACTACTTTTCTGATGATGGTCTCTCCCACTATTATGCAACAATAACCTAACAGAAAACAAACAAATGTTTGTTAGCAGTGATTCCTAATGTCACAGCTCTTGATCTTCTTGACTTGTAACTCCCAGAAACCCTGAAACAATATGCTCTCTGCTGTGCTAATGAAAGCTAACTAAAGGTATTACACTCCAAACACATTTCTGGAGCCAAAATTTGGGCTAATAATTATACTGTATTGCTAGCCCAGGAGACACAAGGATTATTAATTTTTTATTTTTTATAATGACCTGTTCTATTCAGGAGATTTAGATTGATAGCTAGCAGATTAAAATGTCAAATATTAAAAATATTAAAATAGAAACCATCAGTAACAGCTCATATGAAGAGAAGTTCCATCATAAAATAAAAATACATGTACAAATTTAAATGCAGTTACATTCATCAAGAGTATACTTCAGGCACTAAGAATCGTAATTCTGGGAAATCCAAGCAGATTCCAAATACATTTTGAACCACCAAAGGCATCAATAGTCAAGCCGATGACAAGGGAGAAGGTGTGTCCTCGAGGAAAGTTACTTGGCAATGTCATAGCAAAACCTTGAACCTGGCCCACTTAAAAATTAGTACAGAGCCTACAGCAAAAAATGTTGCATGGTGATGTAGATACAAATATGTACAGATACATATAGTATACAGACAGAGAGTGTCAATTGACAGTAGTTGGGCAGCAACATTTTGTACCAGCTGGAGGGTCCAGACATGCTTTCAGGGAAACAGTTAGATTGATGGAATCCAAAGCCCAGCAACAGCAGGACCTCCATGCATTGCCTATTCTTACTGTACAGCTTATTACATTAAACCAGGTTCTGTTTAGCATCTGTGGCTAAACACATTATACACATGTTGCATGGAAGATGACACAAAACCCAATCCAGGGTAAACATGAGTCCTTCATTCGGTTGAATTGCAGCTACATGAGAAAGAATTCATAAATGGCTGCTTAATCTCTCACATGAAATCCAATAACATTACATCTTTACCAATCTCCATTCCAATTTCTTCCAGTCATGACTTCAAAGTGTTTTCTCTGAATAATGCATTCAAGGGAAAAAAGTCACACCAATTTTATCTCAATCCAATGGGAAAAAAATCAAACATGCAGTTACAGATGAATGCATACTCATTAAAAGGGTTATAACTGTCTGTAAGGAATAGGAATGTCGTTGACAATACATTTGGAAGGACTCACTATTTTCAATCAAAAAATATTAGTGCAGGGATAATGCCACTGCTGTACGAATGATCTTGATCAACACAATGTAACTTGTAAAAAATTTAAACTGCACATGGAATATATTTCTGTGGATGTGTAGACAGCAATAAAGTGGTAAATTCAGAACTGTAGACAATCCTTCAGATAGTATCCATAACTATCGCACTACAAAAGAATAAGCCAAACATTTGGGCCACTGGACAAGTACATATCAGCAGCTCAGCACAAGGTCTATTATAAAGTTCATCAAAAGTGTTACATGATGATGTAGGTACAGACATATAGAGATAGAGTAGCAATGGACAGTAGTTGGGGAGCTACATCTTGCACCAGTGACACCCTATAGGTCTACATGGGCTTACAAAAGTGTTCACTTACCATTCAGCAGTTGATCCAAAGTGACTATTGTCTACTTCGGACTAGTAATACATTTTTGGCAATAACTGTTAATTGTCCAATCAGTATGAATTCATCCACAAATAATTTACATTACCTTTGGCGCTGCAAGGAATTGTGTATTGTTACAGGGAAAATCCGTTTTTCTCCTAGCTACTCTGAAGACTGCAGCCATGTTCATCCCATCCAACAGGATGGGGAAATGTTCCTCTTATAAAAAAGTTGCAAGGGGAGCCCAGGCTGTACTACACTCCTGTATAGAGACAACAGTTCCTCTCTTGGATGAAGTAGGTAGCCTTGAAGAATGTTAGAATTCAGATAGCAACAGGATTGGGCAAGAGAACAATTAAGTATAAAGGAATCAGAGCAAACATTCAGAGAGAAATAGCTCTAACATATTTGTGTATCATTTACAAGACATGTTAGGGCTCAAAATAAAAATTAGGAGACCAAAACATTCCAAAGCAAAGATGGTAGATTTGGTGTTCAGAAAGCAATATTTTTAGAAGAAAACACAGATTTAAAGAGTTTCCATAAAGCAGCCTTAATCTCTTTGTTTCTCATGCTGTAGATGAATGGGTTCAGGGTGGGGGGAATTATGGAGTACATCACAGCAGATGCCGCATGTAGAACTGAAGAAGCATTACTGGGTGGTAGGACATGAGCAAAGACTCCAGTCAACACATACAGAGAGACAACAGTGAGATGAGGGATGCAGGTGGAGAGAGCTTTTTTCTGCCCATGTACAGATGGGATTCTCAGCACTGTCCTAAAAATCTTCATATATGTTATGACAATGAAGATAAAGCATGCTAGTGTTACACCACAGCTTAGAGCAAGAAACCCAACTTCAACTAAATAAATCTCCGAGCAAGAAAGTCTTAATAAATGTGGAATTTCACAGAATATCTGATGGATACTATTAGAACAAAAAGTATTTGCAAAGGTGCCACCTGTATGCAATATTGCATAAAAAATACTAACTATCCACCCTTTGGCCACCATCTCAAGGCAGGTTCCCTTGTGCATAATTCTCTCATACTCAAGTGGGTAGCAGATTGCAATATGGCGATCATGTGCCATTATAGTTAGTACAATAAAATCCAATGGTGCAAAAAAGATATATAAGAACACCTGAGCAACACACCCAGAATAAGTAATGGACCTGTCATCCATAAGGGACACAGCCATTGATTTGGGGGCTATGACTGAAATGAATCCAAGGTCTATCATGGCCAAGTTCAATAAGAAGAAATACATGGGGGTGTGTAGGTGGTTGTCAACAATAATGGCAATGATGATGAGAAGATTTCCTGTTACTGCCATCAGATACAGTATTAGGAATACAGAGAAGTGCAAGATTTGTAGATCACGAGCCTCTGAGAATCCCAGGAGTAGAAAGGTGGAAATAGAAGTCAGATTGTTCATCCTGTGTTCAAGAGCTATATGTATACCAGGAAGAGAAGATCTATTAAGATTCATTCATGACATTTTTATTCAAACAGAACTCAGACTGAAGTGTGAAATGTTTCAGAATTTCTTCTTGAAATTAGAAATGCACAAACAATCATGTTTCAGGACTATAGCCCTACTTACTCTTTTTTTTTTTTTGCAATAACATCGGTTAAGAGAGTGGCATATATGTGGCACATATGATAATAAATACAAAAACATGAAGAGAAATGTATTGATACAACAATTAATAAAATAAATTTCTTCATTAAGAATACAGGTCAAAAGCTCAAGTGAAGACACACTTGGGATTAATCACAAATCCCAGGATGGTTATTCCACAGTGAAGTTGCTATATGGAGAAATCTCTTTCTTCAGTCATGACAACATGAGTTATGCCTATGCCTTCAGGAAAATGGTCTCCCTTGCTTATCTTAAAGCACAAGATCGTCTACATCAGTGGTTCTTAACCTTGCGTTACTCAGGTGTTTTTGGACTGCAACTCCCAGAAGCCTTCACCACCAGCTGTGCTGGCTGGGGTTTCTGGGAGTTGCAGTTCAAAAACACCCGAGTAACTAAGGTTAAGAACCACAGGTCTACATGAGGAATGGGGTGGTCTATGGAGCTATGTCCTAAGTCATTCAGGACTTGGTAAGCAATTACGATCAGCATGGATTGGGTCAGCTGATTTGTTGGGAGTTAGTGCAATACTTTGAAAAGACACCTCATATGCATTACTCACCAAGTGGAGCTTCTGCACAGCCTTCAAGGATGTTGCCATGTAAGAACTGGATTACAAGGGAGGAATCCAGTCAAGGGATTAGCAAATCTGAAACCAGGCTCATCCAGTCCAGGACTGACAGCCTAGATATGCCCTAGGATTTGCACCTGTAGTGATATTTAAAAAGGGGAAAAAGAACAAGGAGGATCTATTCTGGCTCCATTATTGAAATATGTATTTATTTATTTAATTAATTTATATTCTGTCCGATTAGTGAAGTCGCACTACTCTGGGTGGTATAAAAATAAACAAAGTCCACAACCACCCACCTGCTTCATATTCATAATAAATAATGACATAATTTTAAAAAACCAGATAATGCTATAACTGACTTAAATGTAATGACTGAAAAACCCAAAATTCCAACATTAAAATTCACATCATTTGAGCGTATGATATTCTTAACGGCTTTCTTATACACGTCTAGATTCAGCAGTTTTTTGAATATTGGGAAGGATGGAGTCTGCTGTTCCTTGACTAGCAGTCAAACCCCTTATACACGTCTAGATTCAGCAGTTTTTTGAATATTGGGAAGGATGGAGTCTGCTTTTCCTTGACTAGCAGTCAAACCCATCTGGTTTGGGAAGGAAGGAAGGAAGGAAGGAAGGAAGGAAGGAAGGAAGGTCAGTACATGGTGAACATACTAATAGTTCATCCTCCCTTTTCAAAGATGAGCATCTCCATCAGATCCACCATTTAGGGGAAAAGAGAAGAAATGAGAGATTAAGGAAGAGTAGCATATTAATCGATGTGCAGGTGATTCATTAGTCCAAAATGAGCCCAGATGATATGGAAGTGGGAGGCCAGGTTAGCTGATCTTCAGCTTGTTGGGCTGTTGAGAAGTTACATCCTTGCTTTCTTCTCTTCCTTCCTTCCTGCATCAATTATTCTTTTTATTTTGAAGTCTTTGGTCCCTTGTTTAACATATATGACAAACATAAATCACAGCAGTCAACACAGTTCTTTGATTAAAGAGTTGATGAAGAAATCACCTCATGTTTATGAACATCCTGCGAATCCATATCTTCTGTGTCTCAACTACACGAGATTGCAGGGTATCTTGAATGAAGTTTTGCACATCAGTGTATTTTAACTTGCATTATTTGTGGTCTTGATCACAAACCCAAGTAGTGTTCAACAAGAAACGTCCCAAGAGAACATATTGTTGTTAGTAAACTAAAATTAATCTCTATTAAAAGGAAATTGCCAGAGCATATACTCATGGGAGAAATTCACCCATCTCGATGGGGATGGTACAGCATGAATCATTCCCTTGCGCTCTTTAATACATTCTTAGATTCATTCCTGCCACCCAATTCTTATCCCTAACCCTAATCCAAAACCTAAAACATTATGTGTATTGCACCATGTACAAAGTTGACACTCTTTGGAATGAAACTAAGCCTCTACCAACAACATTTCTTTCTTCTGTACATAGAGGAGAATTATGCCTCACTGTTATATTACTAGGGCTAAAATCCTGTTGCACACCTGCATACACAAAAATACTTACCATATCAGTCAATTGATTTTAATGTTCATCTTAAAGATTTCTTACCACCACCACCACCACGCATGTTTTGTTTTGCAGTTTTTAAGGATCTCTTTTGACCTTTTGAAGCCTTGGTATGGGTGGAAAACCTTCAATGACCAAAAAGCACTGCTAACAATCCTGATCCACAGCTGAGGATGTCATTTCTGTGGATGTGCAGTCCATCATAATGTGACAAATTTGAACATTATCCACAACAATCACACAACAAAAGGCCAATCCAAACATTTAGGCCTCTCGATAAGTGTGTATCAACAGATGAGGACCAGAAGTTCAGCGAAAGTGTTACATGCTGTGATGAAATTGAGTGTCTGGGGAGAATGGAAGTAGAATGGAAAATATTACAGTAATTTCATCTATATTTAACCTCATGAACTGAGGCAAATGGCAATGACTAAAGTAATGGGCAATCTATGGAGTACGTTTCTCACTTATGCCTTCCTCATCTACATTTTCCAAAGGAGAAACAGGAAGAAAGATTTAACATGACTGTTCAAACTTTTAAGGGGAGACTACTTGAAAAAAAAGTGGTGGCACTGCAAGTTAAACTGCAGAAGCCTGTGTTCTGCAAGGTCAGAAGACCAGTAGTCATA